CCACGTGTCGGCGGCACCCCCGGCTGGTCGCACGCCAGAGGTGCCTGCTCAGGTGCCCCCTGCTGGCCGCACGCCCGAGGTGCCTGCTGAGGCGCCCCCTGCTGGTCACACGCCTGAGGTGCCTGGTGCTGCTCTGCCCGAAGCCACCGCTCTGCCCGCAGCCCTGCCCGAAGCCGCCTCTCTGCCCGCGGCCCTGCCCGAAGCCGCCACTGCTGCAGCGCCCGCTGTCCAGCCCGCCTCGCCTGTCTCTCCGGGTGCACCGCCTGCAGCCACACCCGCGGCTCCACCCCCGGCTGGCCCCACACTCGTGGTTCCTGAGCCACAACCCTGCCTGGAGATTGTGAGGAGGTTTTTTATCCTGCAGGAACTATACTGGCGGGTGGTGGGGGAACCCGCCGTGAGAGACTCCCCAGAGGCAGCTCCACTCCGGGAGCAGCTCCGGAGGGAGTTTGCCACTGTCACCCCTGAATCCCCGCTCCAGCAACTAGCCCAGGTGGAGGAGACTCTGAGGCAGCTGCTCCGTTTGCGGTCAGAGCTGGCTCCTCCCACAGAGGGAGAGGTCTCTGCTGCATTGCCGCCCTCTGAGGCTCCTGCGGTGCCCCCAGAAGCGCCTGTGTCTCCTGCGGCACCCCCAGAGGTGCCTGTGTCTCCTGCGGCGTCACCAGAGGCGCCTGTGCCTCCTGCCCCTGCGGCGCCCCCTGTTGGCCCGCCGCCCGAGACCACTTCTGCGCCTCCAGCCGGGTCTCCTGTGCTCCCTTCTACAGCGCCTGAGGCCCCTGTGCAGCCCCCAGAGCTCCCCGCGGCTCCTGAGCTCCCAGCTCAGCCCCCCGCGGCTCCCGAGGCCCCTGTCCCCGAGGAGGTCCCCGACTGCTGCTCTGACGCTCCTCCCTCCTTAGTGGAGTTGGAGGGGAAGCTTGAATGGGACCCCTTGGGGATTGCCCTGAGTAACCCCGTGGCTTCCCCAGTGACTACCCCCGTGGCTTCCCTTATGACTCCTTCGCCCTTGCCCCAGCGAGGCCGACACCCATCAGGACCCCGCCTTTCCATGTCCCGAAAGGGGAGGGGACACAGGCGTAGGGCCAGGGTCCCGCCCGCCCTGCCCTCTGGTTCACCCTCACTTGCCTTGGCTGGGGCTCGGGGTGCGCCTGCGGGTCCTGCGGCTCCAGGCCGGCTGTTGCCTGCGGGTCCCCTCCGCCGCCTCGTCGCCTGGCCTCGGTCCCGCCTCTGACTCCTCGTTGGCTGCCTGCAGGTCCCCCTGCTCCGGCGCGTCGTCGGACGGCACCTTCCCTGGCTCTGGGTGCCCCGTCGCCTGCTCCGGATTTCCCCTCCTCCTTGCCTTTGCTGGTGCCCTCTCTGACTCCCTCCTTGTCTCCTCCATCTGTCCCTCGTCCTGTCTCCGTCATGGTCCCCTCCTGCTCCCTCCTCCCAGTTGCCGGCGGCCCCTCCGGCCGCCACCCGTCTGGGCACCCCTTTGTCCTCCGTCCGTTCCTGTCTGGTCTCCCCTGTCTGCTCCTGGTCCCTTTGTCCCTCCTGTCTCTGCTCCTCGTTCCCCTGTCGTGCCTCTCTTCACTCCTGGTCCTTTTGTTCCTCCGTTCTCTGTGCCCTCTGTCTGCATTCCCTGTTCTGTGTCGGGTCCTGTCGTGGCTTTTGCCTTGGTGTGTTTCCGTCTTGTTCCCGGTGTCCCGTTGATGGTTTTTTTGCTCTTGTTTTCCCGGTCTCGTCTCGTCCGTCGGGGGGGGGTCCTGTCACGCCCGGCTCGTACGATACTCGTGTGTGCCACGCCCCCCTCGCTACCTCGTGTTACTTCCTGATTGTAATCACCTGTTGCTTGTTAAGTTCAGCCTGTCGTGTGTATTTAGTCTCCCCCAGATCTGTCATTGTTTAATGTCATGTGCAGTGGTGATATTCGATTCGTTGCTGTCTGCCCAGAATAAACCCTGCGCTACTGTATTCACGGCTCTCTCGCCTACTTCCTCGTTCGCACGCACACCGACTCTGACAAGAACTTCCAAAATTTACATTTTTTTCCCCATAGATATTTTCTCAAAAATGTATCCCATGAACTGCGTGAGTTTTGGAAATTTGCTCTTCAGCCCATAATACAACTTAAATGCAGTTGTTACCTTCAGCACAACAGCACACCTATTGCAAATGAAGACCCTAAACCCAAGGATGACAATAAAGATTCAAAGAAGGTTAATGATTTTCATTAAAGGACCATAGCTAGTGGGGTCTTAGTTCTTTTAAAAAAAGAATAGCTGGTTCTTACTGCCTAATTGTCAGATTTTGTGTCTTTAATAGCTTCTTGACTTACTTCTGCTGGTCAGATATTGGGTCCTGCAAACATTCCCAGTTCCTTCTTCCTTATAATTTCTTTTGCAAAGCAGGAGATGAGTGCAATGTAAAGTGTAATGATGCCCATCCTAGCCTGTGAGCTTCTTCATCTGCTTGCTCCTGCACATCTGATGTTCACCAGTGATACACTCCAAGGTCATATTGTACTAATGGCAAATACAATAATACAATGAGCAAGTGGTAGGCCAGCCTCATGTGGTGAACCCCCCACAATCACCCTCCAAAACTCACTGTGATATTTTAGAGCCATCTGTGACACACCATACCAGGAAAGATAGACAGAGGTAAGGAATAACATAACACAACAAAATGATTAAGTTGATCCAAAAATGTACTGGCAATTTCAGAGGCAAAAGCACATTCCTGAAAGCACACCATACTTAAACCTCATCACTGACTAGGCTTTGACAAAATGGTTCAATCTACAGCAGCTAGCTTGTAATGAGTCTCTTTCTCCCAATCTGGATCCATCGTAGCATCATTGCTTTATGGCTCTCTCAGAGCCCATTAGGTAGTTCCACAGGGTCTGGCTAATATATATTGGAACAAGCAGGTGCTGTGAAACCTGAAGACTGACAGCCTATCATTTTTAGATCCAAAAAAAGCCTTTGCTGAGCTGTAGATGCCCACTGGTGTCCTGGGTGACTGCTTTCAGGTCTGAGGCAACGCCGTGTGTTCTGTACGTCTGTGATTGGCTGCTGTGTCTCCATCCATGACCCCTGACATCATATAAGCGTCCCAAGAAACAGCAGGGTGGATATCAGTATGTGAGAAAAATGGAAAGACGAAGCTGGCATTAACAATCAGCCCTGCTTCCCATTTGCCTCAATAATAACTCAGACAGAGGAATAAGGAGCACGGGCCTCCTGTGGCTTTCAAACAGCTCTCTGAGACACGCCCTCTGCACATCCTCGTTTTTAATTGATCCCCGAGATCTTACAACAGTTATTTTCCAGCAGCCATCTGTGCACAAAAGGCAGGATTTTCAGACAGAGATGACAAAAATCCTTTGGAGAGCACATGCTTAATTAAAGTGGCATTATTCTTTTACCACGCTCAACCAACACAGTTTTTACGTGATCTACAAGTTTATTTGGTTATACACCTTATTTAAGGGGGTAGTGTATGGTTCGGCGAGTTAGGACTCTGTGCCTGTGATCTGAATGTTGCTGAGTTAAATCCCCGGGTTGGCAGAGTGATTTCACTGTTGGGCCCTTGAGCAAGGCCCTTAACATTCAATTATCCAGGGACTGGCTGACCCTGCTTTTTCAGGGTCCCTTTCGATAAAAGCATCTGTTAAATAATGTGTAAAGGTACAACAGCAGGAACCTTCAGAACACAAAGTCATGTCCTTAATTAGCATGCTGTTGATATCTTTTTATCTTTCATGCTTGAAGCATTTCTTTGGGGGAGGAAGGCACCTGAGGTTTTCGTTGACGTGGATCAAGTGAATGTGGCGTTTTCAGAGCAGGCGATGGCTGTCTCTCAGCTCAACAGGAAGCAGGTCACAGAGATGCCTTGCCCCTCCCGGCAGCCGTATTTATAGCACACTAAACTGTGTCTGGCGCCACGGCCAGGGAGGCATTTACACCCAAGGCTACAGGGGCCTCAATGCTTTGTAAGAAAACCTTCCCATGTGTCATGTGCATGGGAAGTGGCCGCAAACGTGCTCATCCCAGCCATGCCCTGGTGACTTACTGTTAATATCAGATTTCAGGGGGACGGGTTGAGAGGGAGAGAGCCGTTCTGTCTGGTACAGCTCCCAAATTAAGCAACCAAACACCATCAAGATGACCTCTAGCTGAAACGAAGTGCCAGAGACAGGATGAATCAGGGTCAGCTCCTCTGCCCCCCTCCCCTTCCCACCAGCCCTGGTGCCCCTCACTGACACTCAAAGCAAGCCAGGAGGAGCTCTTCAAGCCCACAGAATGCAGCCTCCCCAGTCAACTGGGGGTGTTGAGCTGGTGTGGGCTGGGAGGCCCTTAAGCAAAGCTTCTAATAGCCACGCAGCCTGTGAGGGTCTGAACGCATCTGATTACAGCTCTTGTGGGCAAGTACTGGACTGCCAGCAATAACAGATAAAAATAACGAGGGGAAATAATGGCGTGATTGTGCAACACTGACGTTAGGATAGACGTGTATAAAAACTCTTATAGCCCAGGTAAGTTACACAAGCCAGCGCATTAGCCCTGCTTCGGTTTGGCGGTTGCTATTGCACCTCTCTCTTATGAGAAAGCAGCTTGGCGATAGCAAACGCCGGCTTTTTAGAGAGATTCGTTGTGTGAGCAACAGCTTCTCCCACGTTGCGGTTACGAGCCAAAAATAGCTGATTCGTGTTTATAGAGGATGACACTTTAAATGAGTGTAATGCATAGGACTTGCACCCCAAACCCATTCCATAAGCATCCCGAACGGCACGCTTAGCTTTAAGGCTTTTTAGGGTGACGGAAACCCCAGGGCATCCGAAACGAGGGCCGAATCCCGAGGCCGGAGTGCGCAAAGCGGAGGGGTGGCGGCTGTACTCAGCATCGCAAGCGAGTTGCTGAGAGTGACGGGTTACGCAACCTGGAGGTGTGGGAGGCTGCGGGAGGGGGTGTCGCCTGGAAATAAACCCGGACCCGGACCTGCCGTCGCCCCCCCTGGCAGCAGTGCGATGTGCTCCCCGAATACGGCATCACGATGGAGAATATTCAGAGGAAAAAGTGTCTGCGATCGCCGGAGAAATTCATATGTAGAAAGCTGAAATAAACAATCATTCGTGATTTACAGACGATTTAGTTCCGCAGATTGAAACTATCGTGGGAGATGGCCGCGTGGCTGGATACTTTCGGTGTCTTACATGAAACTTGAATTCATTGCTGGTTTTTCCAAACCAGTCACTGACAGGCATCAAGTAAAATTCGCTCTTTTAAATTTAAGAAGCGCAAACAGGCTGGAGAAGATTAATAACGGGCTGCAAAGAATGGAAAATTCTCATTAACACACAAAATAAAATATGTGTTACTGAGTTTATTTAACCGGTAAATCAGTTTGTCACACACATTTAATACTAAAGCAATAAATATTAAGTCTCCTGATCGCATGTGAAACGAATGGCAACAACTACCCACCATAAAAAGCACTGCATTGCTTTTTATGGTGAGTAGTTGTTGCCATTCGTTTCGTTGCATGCATGGTGACTATTTCAAAATAAACACAAATTCCTTTTACGATACCCTGCCCATTGTGTGTTTCAAGCGAGCCTTTCATGAACAGCAATGAAACTGGTTACAGACGACCGTTCAGACGAGGATGATAGTGCGTGGGAAAGAAGAGGCCGGCGAAAATCCCATTGGTCCCCATTGCGCTACAAAACGATCTCGGCTTTCTCCGACGCAAGGATGGGCTCAGAAGGTGGAGGAACAGCCGCCAAATAGGAGGCATCCTCACTGCAGGATCACCATCCACTTTCCATGTATCCGCCTCAGCGGACTCCTCCCTGGACGCCGCAAGAAGTTAATCTTACGATCCGAAGATGACGATCGCTGGCCCATCGATGATGGAGAAGGGTCTCTTAAAGTACTAATTCAACGCAATGGAACAAGGGTATATTTGCAGAAAAGGAGGATATGAAAGCCACTTTGAGATTGTCATAGCGCTGGCACTACTATTTTTTTGCTTTAAATAACAGCAACAGACCTAAGATTACTTAAGTGTTAAAAAAAAGAAATACCATTAGAGTCGAGGACATCTGCTGATATTTACGATCGCTTACTGGATTCCAATTTAATTACAATTTCCCCGTATTTGAACTGACCGCCAAAGGCTATAAAAACATGTTAACGGGATAATAAAGTTTTATCCTCCTTACTTCTGGTGTTACAGCACAGGAAAATGCGAAAATTTACAATTCCTGAAGATATTTTCCCAAGAATCTGCATCCGTCCGACAGGTCCTGGAAAGGTTTATAACTTTTACACATGGATTCCCAGAGCTCTTCACAGGAAAACGGGGGTCGCACTTCTTCTGCGACCTAACCGACTTCTTAAATCTGTCTTTTATCTTCTCGTCTAATTCATGCATATTTACTTTTGGAGAAAAAAAATGGAATTACAAGAAAAGTAAATCAAAGAAATAAAACTGGCGATTCACTTTCATCGTGATATATAAATATTCTTATGGACACCGAGCTAGAGGAATCTCATTTGCTCTTATGGGAATTAAGCACTCTTCGCGTTGCTTGCTCCTTAGGAGAAAAATGGCGGAGTCCGAGAGCACGGAGGTAGGTAAGAGTAAAATAACTGACTTAATTCGGTAAAACACTCAAGTGAAATATACGTGTTCTCCGTATTTGTGTTTAGAAAATGCGATCCGAAACTGCTCATAGATCTGTATAAAGATTATGCAATTATTTCGGGCTGTCAACTTACAGTGTCCCGTCTTCAGCAGTAACTAGTGCAAAATTGGAAAAATGCGTTTAAACGTCAGCCGTTATCTGTCGTGCGGTTTTTAATTGCGTCTGAAAGGTGCCGATCAATGAGACGCTGCCAAAAGCGTCGAGATGCGAAAGATCGCGGATGAAGTTGCAATCCAAACTGGGTCCTAGTTACGGTGGCTGCGAAGCTGATCACTCCATTTTATGGTGTTAGATTTAGTGTAATTTTAGTAAAATACACGTTTTGTCTTGAGAATGAAAGCTGGAGCTTTGCGCTGTCCTTGGTGCTGCAGAATAAGCCGCAAGCACCTCCAATTCTCTTAAACTGGGACTGCAGCCATTTTGGAATGCATAGAGCGATAGCATCCGATTGAAGTCGCTTACTGTTTCATAACATCGCTTTCCGTCCCTGACAAGTAAGCTAAGGAATAGCAGAAATGTGTTATTAACTGAAATATATTTTAATTTTATGCGAGTCACGATATAATTAATGAATTTATAACGCAATTAATTATACCTAATTGCAAATGTTATTTAAATCTGAGTGTTCCATAAGGTCTTAATGGGATCCTATAATGAGAAACTTTGGGTATGAACTTTTTCAGAAAACTTAAGGCACAGCCACGGTAAAACTGCAAAGATTTCCTTCATAGCTTTTCTGATCTCTCTTGCCTTTTTTAGTGTTGCTATATTTCAATTTTCAATACAGAATTTTTAAATATGGGTTGGCGCCCTATCCCTGCCTTACTCCCATAGCGTCTGGGATAGACTCCATACCCCCGCGACTCTGAATAGGACAAGGGGCTACAGAAAATGGACGGATGGATGGATGGAAAGTTTTAAATACAAAAGTTTTGTCCCTGAAAACCTATACTCCTTCGTAACCAGATGCAATAAATTACTGGCATTAAAAGAACATAAGAACTATACAAACGAGATATAGTTTGATATAGAGATGCATATTTTTTTCCCTTAAATTGAGGAGGATGCAGAATATATTTACCCTTTGGCTTAATTTAATTGGTAGCATTCATATTAAGATTTGCAGTTTCAGCTCTTGAGATTTGGATTGTGACAAGATCATTACATGAGTACATGAGCCAATCAGATGCCCCGATTTCCATTCTCTGCAGATCTCCAGCCAGGCAGTGTGTGGTGCCATGGTGTTAATGTAGCTGTACATTATGGCTCTTGCTATCAATGGGGCTGAGTGGCATGTACTGTAGGGCAAATGTTAAAGTGATGTCAGGTCAGATTCAGATTGGAATCCGTATAAGATGTTAGGGCAACAGTCAGCGCACAAGGCTATGTGAACATGGTGAAGTGCCTGAGGGACAGGTTCATGTTGTAGCTGAGAGCCAAAGTCATGTAGTAGTAACCATAATAGGACAACTATTAAAAAACTGCTTGTATTTGAGGCCAAGATCAAGCCTTCAAGATCAAGTACCAGGGTTGTCCCAACCCTTTTCAGGGCCATAAGCAAAATTTGATTAAAGTAGCTGTCATTTGTCATCTTCCTTCCCATTCTGACAGGCTGATCAGATGGGGATGGTCCCTGGTGGCTGCTGGGCCCTAAGCAGCTGCTTAGTTTACTTCTGCCTTGGGCCAAACATGCCAAGCTAAGGTTAGCTGGTTATGGGATATTCCCCAAAACCAGGGCATGTCAGGCCTCAGGTGGGTGGACTCACAAGTGATGGCCTGGGTAACACACCAGTGCAGTGTGTAGATGGACATCCGGCTTTGATATCATTCCTGGAAGGTTCTGCTGCTGCAGCTGTCCCAAGGTAGCAAAGATGCTCTTTGACGTGGCAGGTGAACCACAGTGGGGAATCACCACCATCTTACTGAACAGATGAGTCCTGGTGTGGACTAGATTATCTCTAACTGAAAAGACAGACCATGTTGTACAGTGAACAGTGTCTTACTTCAGTTTTGGACCATGGTATGCATTTAACATTCTCTTATTCACTATATGACTCTTGTAAGTGCGCTGTGAAACTTAGGTAGATATGTTAGTAGAGTGTCTCATTTGAGGGGGGGAGAGAGGAATACAGACACCATCAGTGATCGAGATGAATTAGCCTTCTGCTAGTGTTGGACGAGATACTTGTTCATACCGAAAACCGATTTTTATTATTGTTATGATATGAATTTTCCTTATAACGCAATACCAGTTTAAATAGCCTACACAACGTTTGAAAAGTGGCACAGCTGGAAACTGTTTAAGGGGGGGACATTTTTCACTGCTGCATTACTAAAAAATGTACCACGAAAGATCAGAAATGGAAAATATAGCTGACGCTGGAGTTGAAAATAATGAAACACTGGGGTTGTCAAAAAATCAATTCTCAGATACTAATCAATATTAAAAATTAGTATCTGATTATACAGTCGAACCCGGTTATGTCGCCGGCCTAGGAGGTTGCCAAAAAGCGTCGAGATAACCGATGATCGAGATAACCGGAAACCAATATGGCGGCAATATACTGTATTAACATATGCTTGAAATTTATTTATGTGCGTTAAAAAATGAGAATGTGCATGCACAGGTTTTTGGTGTTTTTTTACACAACAGCGTTGCCGCGATTTGTTTGATGACGCGATCGGCATGCTATAAAAATGTACATACATGTTGGCTAATGTGCACCAACTAATGTTCACCAAATAAAAGCAGAGATTTACCAGTATACAATAAAAACCACCATCGATTCTCGATACAAACCTTTAATTATATTATCCAACAATACAAACACAAAGATCGCTCACAAAATCACAAAAAAAAACCTGCAGGGTGTAATTCGTTGTTACAAAAAGCAAACCAGTGTCAAAATTAAATTCACAAGTCATTTCGCTCTGACAGCTCTGAAAAGTATCGGCAATTAATCGCTAATTAATATGGTTTCTTTACAAAGTCTAAAATGCTTTGTTGCTTTTTGCCTTTGACAGTCTGCTTGAAAACAAATGCGTGTTATCCCTCAGACAAGATCAACAAGAATGAGTGAACTGTCATTGGAGTGAACGATCAATTTATTGGTTAGTCCAAAGCTAGCATAAACGTAAGCATGAGCCATTCACACCTGGCCACATTCCCCCCCTTTTATGGTTTTGATGGGGATTTACCTAGATCGCGTTTCACCACTGCGTTGTTCAGCAAATTACCATGCGAATGCGATTTTAATACGCGCTAATGCAGCTGTTTAGCACTTATGATACATTTTAAAAAGCCGGCAATTAGTCATGGGGATCGAGATAACCGACGTTAAGTGGCGATTTTGGCCCTCTTTTGTGCTCGAGATATTAGGGTTCGGCGACATAAAAGAATCGACATAACCGATGAGAAATGCTAATGCAAAGAGGGAATTTGGCGGTTCCACTTCAAAAACGTCGACTTAATAGGGTTGGTGAGTTAGCCGAGGTCGAGATAAGTGGGTTCGACTGTATTATTGATACCAACAGTGCAGTTTTTGCCTCATTCGCCACATTTCACATAGCACCACTACAGTGCAGGTGCACGCACACACACACTCGTGCAGCCCCTTCCCTCCTCTCAATAGACGCTGAATGCATTCGCGCTGGTTAACACACACATACCGAGTTGGCCGAACATGGCATATGCTGCAGTTGAAGGCACTTTGCAAGCTGCTTTAGTAAAAAAAAAAATGTAGAAGTGCCATTTGGAAGTATTTTGCAGACAAGCATGGAAAGGCTAAGGATGTTGATAAGCCTCTATGCAAACAGCGCTACTAAGTTATGGCGATGAAGTCAAGTAGCACGTCAAACTTAGCGAAGCATCTTGAAGACCGACATCCCGGTCGCAAGGTCAGTAAAACTCGCGTTTCAGCAACACTGAATTATTAAACACTTATCAAAAATGTTAACTTGGCCGGCGCACACCATAACATTAGTCATTTATCTATAAGCAGTTAGCCAACAAACACGTTAGCCATATGTTATCATTAAGGTTGCAGATAGGCGCAATGGCTAATAATAAAATAATATAGTTAATGTGGGAACAATGCAAAAACATTAAATAAATCCTGTAAAATCCTGAAAAATGTGGTAAATGCCTAGTCAAATTTTTTTTAAAATACCATCGTATACTGTGAAACCGATGTCCATCTATCCATCCATCCATCCAACATCTCCCACTTAATCCGAGGTTGGGTCGCAGCTCCTCTGGGGGAGTCCCGAGGCGTTCCCAGGCCAGCCGAGAGACATAGTCCCTCCAGCGTGTCCTGGGTCTTCCCCGGGGCCTCCTCCCAGTGGGTCATGCCCGGAGCACCTCACCAGGGAGGCGTCCAGGAGGCATCCTAACTAGATGCCCGAGCCACCTCATCTGGCTCCTCTCAATGCGGAGGAGCAACGGCTCTACTCTGAGTCCCTCCCGAATGACCGAGCTCCTCACCCTGTCTCTAAGGGAGAGCCCAGTCACCCTGTGGAGGAAACTATTTTCGGCCGCTTGCACTCGCGATCTTGTTCTTTCGGTCACTACCCACAGCTCGTGACCATAGGTGAGGGTAGGAACGTAGACCAACTGGTAAATCGAGAGCTTTGCCTTTTGGCTCAGCTCTTTCTTCACCATGACAGACCGATGCAGCGCCCGCATCACTGCGGATGCCGCACCGATCCGCCTGTCGATCTCCCGCTCCATCGCCCCCTCACTCGTGAACAAGACCCCGAGATACTTAAACTCCTCCACTTGGGGGAGGACCCCATCCCTGACCCAGAGAGAGCATTTTACCCTTTTCCGGCTGAGGACCATGGTCTCGGATTTGGAGGTGCTGATTCTCATCCCAGCCGCTTCACACTCGGCTGCGAACTGTCCAAGTGAGAGCTGAAGGTCACGGTCTG